GCAGTCAATTATTAAATTCATTCCAGTGATCAATTATTGATGACGTACTTCGTATAGGGATGTTGAATCGTTCTTATAAACCAATATCTAAAGTCACTTCCATAATGCCAGTCTCTATTAAATAAAAAAGTTTAATTGTTAGTATTTATTATTTAATAAAAATCAATGTGATTAATTATATCACTTACTTCGCAACCCACACATGACAGTCATGACCAACCTGTATCTATTGTCACATCCATTTTTGGAGGTTTTTTTTTTAAAAAATTTTAAATCACTTCCAGGAATCGTATTATGTGCCCCACACCCGCACATAACTGTCGTGACCAACCAATATCTGAAGTCACGTCCATAATGTTAAAATCTTTATTAATAAAATTAGTAATTAATAAACATTTCCTTATTAATAATTATATTACTTACTTTACTGTTTAATAAGTTTAGGTCTTTCAATTTGTTTTTTTTTGGGGGGGGGGGTTTAACACACGAGGTGCGTTATGTGCCCCACACCCGCACATAACTGTCGTGACCAACCAATATTCGAAGTCACGTCCATAAAGTTAAAATCTATTAAGTAAATAATTAAGTTATTAATAATGAATTATTTAATAAAAATAGAATTTTCAATAAACATATTACTTACTTTACTGCTATTTAATTAATTCAACAATTATATTATGCGCCCCACACCCGCGCATAACTGTCGTGATCAACCAATAACTAAAATCACGTCCATAGCATTAATATCTATTAAGTAAAATTTTAATTATTAATAAAATTAGTAATTAATAAACATTTCCTTATTAATAATTATATTACTTACTTTACTGTTTAATAAGTTTAGGTCTTTCAATTTGTTTTTTTTTGGGGGGGGGGGTTTAACACACGAGGTGCGTTATGTGCCCCACACCCGCACATAACTGTCGTGACCAACCAATATTCGAAGTCACGTCCATAAAGTTAAAATCTATTAAGTAAATAATTAAGTTATTAATAATGAATTATTTAATAAAAATAGAATTTTCAATAAACATATTACTTACTTTACTGCTATTTAATTAATTCAACAATTATATTATGCGCCCCACACCCGCGCATAACTGTCGTGATCAACCAATAACTAAAATCACGTCCATAGCATTAATATCTATTAAGTAAAATTTTAATTATTAATAAAATTTAGTAATCAATAAACATATCCTTATTAATAATTATATTACTTACTTTACTGTTTAATAAGTTTAGGTCTTTCAATTTTTTTTTTTTTTTTTTTGTTTTTATTATTATTATTATTATTATTATTATTTTATTTTATTTTTTTTTTGACACACGAGGTGCGTTATGTGCCCCACACCCGCACATAACTGTCGTGACCAACCAATGTCTAGAGTCACGTCCATGACATTAATCTATTAAAAAAAAAAAATTCAATATTTTATATTATTTAAAAAATTAGATGAGTTAATTGTATCACTTACTTTGTTAATTAATAAATTTAGATCTTTATGTTATGCGCCCCACACCCGCACATAACTGTCGTGACCAACCAATATTCGAAGTCACGTCCATAGCATTAGTTTCTATTAAATAATTATATTACCAGTTAACTTATTGATGATCAAGTTTCATGTATCAAAGAATACCTGCGTGATTTCTATGTAAATTCGATCCTTAGAAGGATACTGAAAAATAACAATACCATAAAGACCTAGGTAAGATTACATATTACATGCTATCGTTTGTTAAAATTGTTCGTAATTCTGTATATTAAGTAATTAATAAAAAAAGAGGAAATTGTGTTAGTGTAAATTAAAATAAGCGAAAATCTTCTCTGCTAAAAGTTGGAGTGGAATTATAAGATTATTAAAAAATAAATACGTGACCAAGATCAGGCGACAAATGTTTAATGCGTGGACAGGAAAAAGAAAAGAATGATCGATTGCAGCATTATGTCTGAGATGAAAGTATAACAATAAGAGAGTTTTAATTAATATTACAGAAGATGACAGAAGAAAATTTAAGAGTGAACATTTTTTGCCAATGTGCCAATTGTAAACAATAGTGTTAAAGAAACATTTAGACTAGTATGTTGCTTGATTAAAGAAGTTATATCAAAGTAAGTCAAATTGCGTACCTGATTCATATGAAAGAAAGGTTTGATGCGAAGAAAAGGACTGTTATGGTTAAAATAAACCATAATCCGGAGAACGTGATTGATCAACCCAAAATCAAATTCGAAAATTAATCATAGCATTCCTCATATATCTAATATTAAAAATTTTTTGATAAGTAAATTTTATTCCGAAAACTTTTACTTATAGGCCAGAAGATAGTTATTATAGCAAATTTTTGTAATATTTACAATTTCTTATGTTTTTAACATTTATTTTGTCACAAAAGATCTGGTAATTTTATTATGGTCGGAAGTGATCATCATCTCGGAATTTTTTGACACAAGAGTACATTGTACCCACGCGATGCCAGATTTCAGAGTAGGGGAGAAAATATAAGTAATGTGACCAGATCTAAAAATAGTCAAATCAAACTGAAACTTACTCATAAAGTCTAAATCTATAGCAAGAGAACAATTAGGTTATGTAAATTTATGGGAAATGGGAAGAAATTTAAAAGTAAATAAAGTGATTAGTCTTGTAAAATATAGTAACTCGAAAATATTAAAAGATGCTATAAAAATATTCATTAGTAAACGTTGATGCGCTAATAGAAACCCTCAATTAAAAGATAAAAGAAAAACCAATACTTGTCCAAATTGTTTCACATCTTTTTGGGAGACTTTACAATTGAAATGATTTTGCGCAGTTGATTTTTATTTACGTTGAGGGGATATGCTATACCATATTAGGTACATCATTGCTGACTGTAGCCAATAAAATCACAAGATCAAGTGTAACTTTTAAAAAAACACAGCTTGACTTAGTTATAGACAAAATTTTAGTCATATAAGTATGTCTATATATCGAATATTCAGTAAATTAAAGGCTGCGTTAAATTTTGATCTTTAAGCTCTTTCGATTTGTTGATCGACATATACTGTCAGATTTCAGACGTGTGAATCCAACACAAAATGGTCAATATCAGAATTGTTCTAGAATAACATTCAGGTGAGCCGTGTTCTAAATACGGAGATGAAACCTGCGGTTATGTCGATCATTGCATGTGAGATTGATTTTACTGAAACACGATTTTTTATATTGTTTAGAATTAGAATAGAACATTAATCTATGACCTTAAAGACTTTTATTTGGTTGGCTATATCAACTAATATAATCAATTTCATTGTTTACATCGCAGTTCACTTTATCATCTGATTGTGCGATTGTAATTTATAACTTTCTATATTAAGATCCAAGTGACTGTGCATGTTGTGATTCGCCAAATTTGCAAACGGCACAGCAACAAGGGATGTTTAGAGATATCGACTAGATATTATAATATAATATTAGTAAATTACGCTATAAATAGTAAAGAGAATATCAGACATCAAAAAATAAGTAATAAAGCGAAGTTAAATTTATCTTATTATTGTAAAAAAAAAAAGATATACCTTACATGTTAAAGCTAAATTAATAGTCTAAAAAACATAGTCATCTTGGTTGACCTTCTGTTATGATCAGTGATGTACCATTTCTATGATACCTGAAATTCTGGCATCTAATTACTATACTATATACGGCACATTACTAGTTATGTACACTTTTTCTATTTTATGATTTAATGTGACACAATAAATTTAGTAACACATTTTTTCTCACTGTGAGAACAGTGTGAGAACAGTGTGAGAACGCATATAGTATATAATGTGTCTGCATATATCAAATTAGTACATACAGTATCAAAATATGTGATTATTTCTATTATCAAAATTATGAAGTTAAGTATCATAGTTAATTTTACTTGTGATTTAGATAGTAAAACTAATTATTTATAACTCTGATTAAATTTGCAGATCGTACAAATTTGATTAGAGTTATAAGTAATTGGTTGGTTATTTTATACTATTCTTTACTTTGGTACCTATACTATTTCCTATTATCTTAGACTATATTTTACTATTTTTTTAAATTTCTTGTTTTTAAATATGTATTATTTTTTTGACCATTGGTCTAATGTTCTTGTATTTTTCTTTTTGTTTTTGTTTATTTAAAATCATTTTTTTAACATTTTTTAGATTTTAGTTTTATCTAATTATTGGTTCTGAGTTTCTAGTATTTTTTTTTATTTTTTTTTATTTAAAATTACTAGTACTTAATATCTAATTTTATTATAGATTTTTTTTTACTGTTGATTTTAAATGTTATATATATAATTTTTTTTTAAGGTAACTTCTTTGGTTTTTTGATCTTTATTAATAATTTTTATAGTAATGTGATTATATATACTATTAAAAAAAAACTGTATAATTGGTTATATATATAACTTTTCTATATTATCTATTTAAAAAGTCTGCTTGAAGGTTTTTCATTAATTGTTGTATTGCTTGATTGTTTTATTTTAAACCTTCTGAACTTGCAACCTTTTTAATATTACTAAGTTATGTTTAGATCATTATTTTAAATTTAGAATTATTTTATTCTTAAAATAAATTTAGTTGTTTAGTCTTTACAATAGTACTATCAAAAAAATTTATATTATCTTTCTAATTAGGTTTTTTTAAATAAACTTCTTGTTTCCTAATTTTAATAGATTTACACAACTACAAGAACTTATCTAGAGTTTGCATTACTTAATGTTAGTTTATATTTCTCTATGTAATCAGTTATACAAATATTTCCATAACCTGTTAATCATGCAGGTATAATTATTATTATAAATATCATAACTTAATTATTAAAAACAGTTGCTATAATATAAATATTATATATATAATAGTTTGAATTTTCACTATCAATAAAATTTAAATACACAACTTACTACTTGAAAGAATAATAACTTATTTACTTTACTAAGTTGTTATATTCTTATATATATATATAATTTTGTAATTTTTGTATTTATAAATAATTAATCAAGTTATAAAAATAAATAAAATTATATGCTTGAAATAAAAATTGTGTTTAAAAATTATATATATATATTTTATTTTACAAATGTAAATAATAATTAATAAACATTAATAAGTATTGTTATAATTAATAAGTTGAAAATTATATCTTGCACTAATAAAAAAATATACTTGTATAAATAAGTTTTAATATATATTAGCAAAGTTTTTATTTTTTATTATATTTTAAATAATAACTCTATTATGTTTTAATTAGGGTAATTTTAGATATATGCTATAAGAGATATATAATTATATATCTTTCACATATCTATCAATAAAAATGCCCCAATATCATGTGATACTGATTATTTGAAAACAGCATACTTGTGTAACCTTGGCTGCATCAGATGGTCAACTTACATCAACCTATATCAACTTACATCAACTAATATTCTGACTACAGTATAATAAGAAAAAAAAACATTAGTTATTGAATTAAATTCAGCAAACTCAGCACCTACAAAATTGATCAACTCATGATGATTAAATGTGAACAGATATAAGTAATGCTAGAAAAAATAAACCCTCTTATTGGTGACACATATTACATACAATCTGCCAAAACTTCGAGCCTTCAAATATATTCAGATTTCTCAAAAAATAAATCTGGTAAATAATAATTAATAAATATAAAAGCCCAATTTCATCTTGGCAATATTTATTTATGATCATTTTTAGTCACTTCAAAAGATGTGATTTGTCATCAAATGGAAAAAAATTTACAGGTTCATTCTTATTATTACTCAATTTGACTAACCAAAGATATTTAATAGGAATTAGTTGGTATATATCAAATACGATTATGAAAAATCTTTATAATCACTTTAGTGCAATACTATAATTATCCAAAATAATGTCCCAGAGTGTTACTTAGGGCATGTAATATGAAAAGAGCTAAGAATTAATTTAGCTGAAGATTTTTTAAAAATAAAATTATCACTCATATTTGGCTAAATTAATTATTAGCTCTCTTCAAATTTCATGCCTTAAATAATGCTCAGAGGTGTTATTTTAGGTTAATATAATAAAAGAAAATATTTTGTGATTATTATTTATTGCATCGAAATTGATTGTGAAGATTCCTTTAAATTAATTTAAAGAAAGTCTAATATATAATTTTGATTATATCTGTTCAACTAATTTTACAAATCCATGATCAAGCATTTTGTATAAAGTTTCTTTATCCTTAAGTATGCATTACAATTACACCACAATGATAGTTTCAATAAAAGCAAGGCTAGTCAATCTTTAATTTCTTATATTTCATTTTTCTAACAATCTTATTAATAAAATATATAACAACATACATATATACACTATTAATTTTGGATTTGGAAGTGAAATGGCTAATTACAAAATCAAGATATCCAAATATTTTGGAAACTCAAATTGTATGATAATTATAATAACAGCCTTTCTTTTTTATTTCTATAGAATTTGTAAGTCTAATGATAAAATAACCTAGGAAAAAGACAACATAGCAATTACAAGACAAAAAAGAAAGCAATTAGTTAGGCTTTTTTTTTGCATATTTTGTATTTTTTTCTATACAAGAATGTCATTTATGAGTTTGTTTTCATCTGTAAATAAAACAGAATATTATTGATTAACATTTAATAAATGCAAATTTAATGTTTTAGTTAAAGTAACAACCTTATTCATAATACTTACATTAATTCTAGTCATACTAGACCTTGCATGCATCAAACAAAATCAATATTTGATTCTAACATATATCACAATACCTTAAACAGTAACAAATTTTAAAAATAAGTTTTTTTTAACTATATAAACATCAAATATTAATAATATAATGTAAATTTACCTTATTGCACACTATGTATACATTTTTGGAAGTGCCTCAGACTGTTATTTTCACTTTAATTTTCGGGTAAGCTTTCTTTAAGAGCTTTTTTTGGTCAACCATGCTTCTTTTCACCACAGCTACAGATGTATTCTTTTTTTGGGACCTGATTCTTCCTTTCTTTGGCCTTCAACTGCCTTGCTCTTAGGGAAATTGTTAATTGCTAGAAGTTGTAAAGATGCTGTCACATTTTCTACATAGGTTGAATTTGAACCATTGTCAGTATTTATATACAGAGCTTCTAAATACTTCTCAAGATACAATGTAAAGTCCACATATTTATCAGAGTCAACTGCAATCTTACTTGCAATTTCTCCTAATAATCGATTAATATGCATATATTGAAGTTTGGAGACACATTCACTAGAAGATTCACTAGAAAATTCTTATAATACTAGAGTTCCTGAGGCTTAAGTTTGTGAGTAGTTGTAAAAATTAATATAAGCTTTTGCAAGCTCTAATTAAGGCAGATCCTTTTGCCAATGTTTTGAAAAGTGAAAATCATCAAGTTGAGAAAGAGAAAGGTGAACTGCTACTGCAAGAGAATGGCAGCATACTATTCCAGCAAACTTAAGATTATGGCAACTGCAAGTAAGTGTACAGCCATCATAATATACCCAACATATAGTGTCAGGTTTTTCATAATTTGATAATTTAAAACAACACAACCCATTGTTACTAGCTATTTCCTCACACATATATATATCCTTTTCATTTCATTCAGCAGAAAATTTCTTTTATGCATATTGTGTTAGACAATTAGCTGCTTGGTTTTCAATAGAGTTCTTGGAATTAGAATGAGAAGGGTAAATAAGCTCTTTGTATATAAAAATATCCTCAGCTTCCTTACAAGCACCAAATGCTTGTTCAAACACAGCTAGAAAATCAGTAAGTATGGTTTTACTATCAAAAAACCCTTCAGTAATTTATTCATCGATTTTTCTCTTTGTGTTGACAACATGTTAGCAAAAAAATAATCTTTAAGATATGCTAGGGCCCACCTTTTACACTATTGATTAAGAACTTCTAAATACGATCTCGCCTCAGTGTAGTTATCATTTACTATAACATTATTTCATTACTCCTCAAACTCACTTTGATTAATATAATTACTTAAACATTTTATCAAATTTATATAAAACATACCATATTTGGATCCAAGCTTGGAAGTCATATTTGACCTAATGTTCTTAAGCATATGCCATATGCACAGACTGTACTTTGTACCATGTTTATCAGTTAGAATAGAACAAATAGCATCAGCCATCGGAAGGTCATTATCTATAAGTATAGTCTGAGATGCAGTGCAAAAAATATGAATAAAGGCTTCAAAAAGCTACTCAAAACTGGAATGAGTCTTGTTCTGAAGCAATGCACCAGCAGCACAATAAGAATGCCTTTGATTAGTAACATCTGTAAACACCCTAAAAGACATCAAAAAGTAGTTATATTTATACATATTATCATATATGATTACATTGTAAAAGCATATATATTGACATTTATGTAATGAATATACCTATAATACATGCTTCAAATGGTTTTCATGATCAAACTTGAATTCAAAAGAAAACTCAGGATCATTCCTACATTTTTGCTGCAAGAGAAGAAGAAAATCATAGGCCTGAAATCTATTGCATAAAATATGATTACAGCTAATCAAGTTGTACACATCTTGGATTGTTCATTTTTTTGCAGTTGGACTATATTTACTACAAGCAGTGATTGAATTTGTAATATTTGAATATCTGCCTTTTTAAGAGCAGAATTTTCTCCGGTATTTCACAGCTGGTAGGTAAAATATGCATAAGCTAAACTGGAATTAGAAGATGGTTGTGGTGAAGAATTGATTGTAAAATATAATATTTATTATTGTTTTGGTTATGATTGAGATGAATATACCATGGACAACTATATTTTTTAGATTCCACATTTTTATTCTTTTTGTTAGGGTCTTTAGGCTTGGGTTTAAATTGACTATAATAATCACAAGTGAAAACTTGAGTGCGACAGAAGCCATTACTGCGGTTGCTATCTTTATTGTAAATAACTTTAAACCCTTTTGCTTCTGAATATTGATCGACCACATATTTGAAAGCTTCAAGGGAGTAGTAGGCTTTGCCTTTTTGAAAAAGTATATTTTCAGATAGTTCTAGTAGGTTTTTAGACCTTACACTTTCAGGTTCCACTAAGCTTTCAAGTTCTAATGAGCCTTCAGGTTCTGGTGAGCTTTCAAGCTTCAATAAGTCTTCAGATCTATCAAAAATAGAAGATTAATTTAGCACAATTTCTTAAAAAACATTAAAGACAGTATTAATATTTTATACAAATCACAATTGTATCAAAGTACTAACATCTAACCTACCACTATTATGAATTTGGCTTTGAATATTTGTTGTAATACAAGCCATTATTAAAACAAAAATTCATTGAATTGGTCATTACTCTTGTTTTATTATTTAGTTGAGTAGGTCGTTCACTTTTTTTTTTTTATTGGGTGGGTACATGGTTGTCACTTTTTTTTTTTAGATAAATTGTTTGACTTTTTTTTTTGTTAAATGGGTCATTATCACCTTTTTTTTCATTGTGTGGGTTGTTACTCTTACTTTTTTATTTAGTTGAGTGGGTCATTTGCTTTTTTTTTCATTGTATCACTTTTTTTTCATTAGATGAGTTATTCACTTTTTTTTTCATTAAGTTACTTTTTTTTGTTAAGTGAGTTGTTCTTTTCTGCTCTTGATGGTTGTTACTCACATTATTTTTTCAAAATAATAATTACTAAACACAATCTTGCACACTTTAGAAATTGTAAAAAAAAGGTTTCAGAAGTTACTTATATGACTCATATTCTAGATAAAACTTACATTTGTATATATATAAAATAACTTCTTAAAACTGTCTACCACTTATTATTATTGTTTAATACTAGTTGAAAAGTTTACAAATTACTCATTATAAAGACTTATAATAGGTTCTTAAGATCAAAAGTTGGGTTGCTATTTTTACAACTTATAGGTAAGAAAATTTTACTTTATATTTGCATAACGTATATATGTCATATATGTATATAAACTATGATAAGAATTTATTATCTAAAAAAAAAAAATTGTTTAAAGCCAGATAGTAAATTTGTAAAGTAAAAGTCATGTGAAGCATATATTACTATATATTTGGTTTTAAACGATCCTTAAAGAATCAACAATTGACTTATTGTCCAGAGCAGAGCAAAGTAAAAGATATAGACATACAAGATAAAAAAGATAATTTAAGTATCGCATTTTTATTGATTGATATGCAGAAGATATATAATTTATATATCTCTCATAGGATATGCCTATAATTTCCCTTTTAATTATTATAAGATTTATTAAAAACTTTTAACTTATTCATATCTTAAAACTTGCTTATAAGCCTATTTTAAGTAATAATAAATAATTAAACATATAATTTAAATAATTTTTAAAATAAATAAATAAATTATTTGAACAATAAGTTAGTTAAACAAATACTAATATAACTTTTAGATTAACTTTAAAAAAAAATATTTTTTATACTCTAAATAATATTAAAAAAAATTCTAAAGATTTAAACTAATATATATTTAGATATTAAATAATGCATTTAATTATTTATACTAAATATTTTTATTCTGCATAATATTTGAAATTCGAAATAATCATGTAATCTTTATAATTCTAACTAGAGTTACTAATATTACTAACTTGAAACTTAATTTTAACAAATAAATTAAAAATTTTTTTTAAATCTATTTAAAATTTTTGTTTTACAGTTGTTATTATTATTCTTGAACATCTAATAAAAAATCAACTAAGTAATTATTCTGCTAATTTGATAAGTTATTAATTTTAATCTAATTAATATAATGTTCATTAATTATAAATATAATCTAAAACTAGTATGTATATAATTAGCTAATATTAATATAAGTTTAGTTAAGTATTATATCTTAGAGCATATTCAATAAAAAAAATTTAAAAAAGTTATATGTTCAAACAACTAATAAATACTTAGATGTTAACAGATCTTTAACAAGTCAGATTTTTTAACTAATAGAGGTTTTAAAGTTAATATAGAAAATCTAATTTTAACAAAAATAGATAAAATATTTATTTACAAATAAGCAATTTATTTTATTTTTTAATAAATTTAAAATAATAATTGAAATAATAATTTTTGTTATTGAAAAGTCTATTTATTATGTTAAATAGGAATTTTAAGACACTCTTATTTTATTTACTAATTTAAAATTTTAAAATATAATTAAGATTTTTTGAACTTTTATTTAATTTAATTTTAAAATATTACACTTATTTATTAACTTTAAAACTTCTAATTGCAAAGATAAACCTAAATAATATAAAATATCTTAAGACTTTAATAAAAAAAAAGTTTAACTAATATTTGTATGAGTCATTTTTATTCTTTCTAATAATCACTTAAACTAAATTAGCATCAAAACAGTTTGAAAAATTAAGTTTTTAAGTAGACAACACCTTTGATTCTATATTAATATATAAAACAAATTGTTGTTAATAAATTAGAATTACATAAAAAAACTAAGATACAGGTAACTTTTTTTGGTGATTTGTGACAAGATTAAAACTTTTATTTCAAATAAACTTTCTAACATATTTAATATCTAAACCAGAAAGACATTTTGAAAATAATAAAGAAAAACTCTGACTAAAAATTATAAGAAATTTAAAAACAAGACAAATGACTAAAAATATTCTTTTTGGTTTGTTTTCAAATATTATACTTACTGGTTTTTCTCTATTTTTTAATATTTTCCTTTTTTTTACTCAAAAGTAAAGATTTTAGCTCTCTTTTTATAAAAGATTAGTATTGTTTACTACTTCTTTTTTTTGAACAATTACATATTGTAATATGATATAATAAGAACACAATAATCATATATATAGCTTAATATATAATGTAATAAAAAACAAAAAAAATTTAAGTTAAATAATTAGAGTAAATTAAAAATATATATTAATTTACAAATTATATATATAAACTTTTACCTTTCTAGCACAAGTTAAAGTGTAGTTAGATCCTTAGCATATTAGTAATCTTATTAGAATAGTCACAAAAAGGTATGCTCTTTAACACTTTTGTTTTTTGTTTTTTTCTTCTTATAATTCTTTTAGTTTAGTTTAGATTAGTTTTTTGTTTTTTTTAATTCTTTATGAGAAAGTGTTATTAGATTGGTAATATCCTATTGTAGAATAGTAATTGGAAATAGTCTTTTAAATAGTAACTTGTTACTGTTTAGTGTAATGAGTTACTCCTGAATACTCTTAAAAGCAATTAGAAAAGTTAAGGCTTGAAAATTAAACTTGTATTATTGATCAAAGTGTTTATTTTTTTTAATAAAAAAATATTTGTATAAGTTACAATTAAAAATAAAACTTTAGTTAAAATATGAAAGTAAATATCATTTAAAGTCTTGTAGTTTTACATAACTTTTAATTTACAAATTAAATGGTATCTTGTATATAGATTATCTTTATTATCTTTGTAAATAATAAACATTATATTAATTATACTAAAATCAATAATTTATTAAATCAAAATATTCTAGAAATAATAATATTAGCTATAAAACACTATGTTATATTGCTTATATAATATAATATATATTTAGATAAGTATAGTTTTCTAATTTTATATTTTTAAATGCTATTATTTATAAAATTATATATAATTTTACTAAATTTTTTTAAACTATTTAATGTTTATCATTATTATTACTTACAATGATTTACAGAAATTTATTTTAAATTATATAATAAAAGATTAGTAATTTAGTATAATTTATATATATAATAGTAATACTTATAATTTTGATAATTATAATATTATATATATAAAAAACATTTTATTTATTTTTTTGTAAAGTTTAAAAAGATATTAAATAAATTTTACTTATATAACAAACATGAACTTGAAGCATTATATTTTTATTTTTTTGCTTTTATTGAATTTTTTTTTTTTAATATTAATAATGAGGCCATGCCTCTATCTTTATTGAATATTTAATTGAGATTTTATATAAAGTA